GGTGTGACCCAAGATTTTTTTTTTTAGTTGCACCATTGAGAAATTAGGGCCCCGGAACGTCTTGCTCAAACCAGAGTGATGTAAATGACGTCATCAGAGAGTGAAAACGAGGCTCAGAGCAGATGTTCACACTTTATTACTGCCAGGACTTTCAAGCTGCTTTCATGCTTCTTTTAGACCAGGGGTCTCAAACTTGGGACTTGGGACCAAACTTGTGTTTGACAGCTGCCTATGTCTGCGTACAAGTGTAATTCTGATCTTAGTCATACAAACTGAAGAAACTATATCCAAATACCAAGACCACACCAGTGGTGATGCCTGACAGATGAACATCGGCAAATCTCATGTCCTGCAGAGCTGATTGCAGATGTTCAGCTGATAAATCTGAGCATCTCTAGAATTCAGCGCTTTCAAGAGCACTGTAAACTCAAACAAATACTACAGTATCTGATGTCTGCAGGTTCCTCAACTTTTTTAGTAGTTACACTGAAAACAAACCACCGGCCACCATGATGATAGCTGCCCACTAGTGAGACCACATATGTGCGTGTCGTTTTAATACAATAACAGGCTGGCAGTTTGGTTAACAGCAACTACACCACTACACAGAGGTTAAACCACTTCCACATATTTCCACTGGCATACTTTCTCTACAAAACACTCTGAAAGGTATCTACATAGGCCAGACTCCCACCGACACTGGCACAGACAACTTTGTATTTAACCGTCTGAGGTTACCACGACAAACTTTGTCTCACTCTTCAAATGCTTACTTGTATTCATGGAGAACAGTGCTGGCTGGATGAGCTTGGTTCTCCAGCGCTTTCTGGTATACTGCATCAGCCTGTTCATGCAGTCCTCTCTGTTCAAAGTGCTGAGCCCAGGCCACATACAGGGCAGCTGTCCTGGTGCCGACGCCCCTACTGAAGACCTGACAGTACAGGGAAACAGGGTCCACGTAATAACTTGCCTGTAAGACACAGTGAGGCGAGAAAAGAGCTCGAGTAAGACTTTATCCAACTTAAAAAGATACAAACTATGGAGACAACTGTAAAAATACAATGTTTTCATCAGACTTACACATTTGATGCAGTAGTTCACATATCTGATGTCATTCGCGTATTGCTCGACATTCAAAAATCTCTGGATGAGACGCTCAAACACCAGCAACATCCCTCTGCCACCATCTGCAGGTAGCCTCTGCTCCAGGTACTCCACAAACCTAAAGAAGCACCCAGAGAAACTTGCCTTCAGTACTTCTCATTTTGAGTACATCTTTTTGTATTAAATCATCAAAAAATGATTCACAATATTTTTAAGACAGACTATTATTGTATTTTATTAAGATATTACGCAGTTATTTATCTTTGAGGCTGGTTGGTTTGCTGTTTTGTGTGCTCTGAGACAAGCAAACATTTGTGATACATATATTCAGCCTTAATATCCAAAAGTGTTATTAAATAACCTAAAGCTGAAAATAGACGGTAAAGAACAGGAAGTGTGACTTTGAAAAGTAAATCCAGGTCTACTTCCGACGTCAACACTCAAAAATAAAATAAGCGCACGATCATTTGTTGTGTACCTCCTGTGTTTAAGGCTGTCTCTTACACTCTTACAGGTTTCAATATGATTTCAATGGCTGCAGGACTAATAACTTTTCCTAAATTACTATAAAACATTACACATCGATGAAAACAGTCGAAATTCTCACTTGATCCAGGCGTCCAGTGGGTCGTCACCTGTGTATGAGGTCAAACTGTTTTCAAAACGCCTGAAGGGTAGAAGTATGAGTAATTAAAACATGTCTGACAGCTACGTTGTTTATTAATTAGTTATAAAACATCCATACATTCATGTTAGCACTGAAGCTAACCCCTTCAATTGAGCTAACAGCGGCTAACGTCCATGTTCCATCGTGACTTACTGTAAATACGAGGCGATATCCATTTCGCTTTAAGTTAAAAAAAAGTTCTCCCAAGAAAACCGATAGTAAACTTTTTTGTAGCACTTAATTCCTCTGGTTTGATTGTTTGCTATCTAAACAAATTCGCATATTTAGCCTTGTTGTCTTCCGAGCCGCTAACGTTCCCCTAACATTTCAAATTTCGCGCTAAGCCAATAGCGTTTCAGGGGGCGTAGGAAATCCACGCCCATAACACGTGACGCACAGGCGTAAAAAAAATTTAACAAAATGTATTAAAAACTAAAATACATCACACAAAGTGCCGTCTATATCGCCCTTTCTGTGAGATTCAGTTTATTTTACTGAGAAAACAGTGCTAAGTTTTACTATTGAAAATTTGAAATGGACGAGCGCCATGATTTTAATTTTAATTTACAGGTTCTCCAGTTAAAGGATCAAAGTAAATAAGACTTTACTTCGAAATAATCAGGAAGCACCTGGTGTCTATGTGCTTAAACATCTTCACAATAAAATTGCAAGAGAAAAAATAATCATCTGAAATTAATTAATTTACTCTAAAAGCAGTGTTACATTTACACGTACATTGTATAGAATATACATTTAAACAAGCAGTATATTTAAACTAAAATACAGACATATCTTTGTTGTAAAATAAAAAAATAAAATAAAATAAAATAAAATAAAATAAAATAAAATAAAATAAAATAAAATAAAATAAAATAAAATAAAATAAAATAAAATAAAGAATCACTGGTTCAACGCCACCGTTCGAAGCCCCAAAGTAGCCCGTGAAAAGCAGTTTCAGAAGCCCCGTACACGCAGGGGGTGGGGTGGGGTGGAGAAGCGGAGTTTGCGACGTTACGTAGCCGCCATTTTGTTTCACCGGGAGTAAAGAAGCCAACCCGAGAGCCCCGGCGTGAAAATTTCCCCTCATTCGGACTACCTAAATCACGGCGGAGCTGCATCGTGCACCCAAATTCAGATTCGCATGGTACGTACGCTCTCGACGCAACGAGAGGGGATGTTAAATTCGGCTATTAACCTGCAGCTTTCTGCACGCTAATGTTCGATGCGTTGCACGACCGGCTGCTGTTAGCATAGCAGCTCGTTTTCATGGCTAGCCGGCATTTTGGAAAAAAACGGGCCTGTTTGCATTTACTAATGGGAAAATAAATGTGCTCTACGTTATGAGTAATGGGCCAAACACACGGAACCACCACGAATTGCACGTGCTTGACCTTTGGGCCTTGTTTAATTAATTAATGCTAATCTCGTGCATTTTGCACTTCAATGCGTACCGCGCTCGGTGAGGCCTGTGATCTGTACGAGCCACAGATGTTAGCTCACAGACGCGTGGTGACTACATGGATGCCGCCTTTTCTGCTCACTGCTTAGCTGCTTGTTTGTGTGCTGTTTGGGCAAGTTTGTTTTTCCGCTGGCGTCTAACACGTGGTGTTAGTTTCGCAGCGTCCGCAGGACTTGCCTGTAAACCAAGTGGACGATGGCGCCAAACTGCACGCTTGATGTTATTGTCCCACTTTAGTCCGGCGAGTGCGTTGCTGCTGGTGGTAAATGTTTGCTCACTTCTCTGCGCAGATGTCTGAAGACATGGCCACAGATCACGTTAACGGGAACGGGACGGAGGAGCCGATGGACACTACAGCCGAGGTGACCCACTCGGAACACTTCCAGGCTTTACTGGAGGCAGGTTTACCTCAGAATGTCGCTGAGAAGCTGGATGAACTTTATGTAGCAGGTAAGAGAACGCCCTACCTCCGTTTTCAGCTCACAGTGTGTGCACAGATAAATCCACCCTCCAGCACACAGTGTGAAAGTCAGTAGTATCTGAAATTTGTGAATGAAATGTAGTACAGTACCTGAATAGGTGATGCAAACATTACAAACACAGGAGTGGTGTGCTGGTCTAGCCTGCTTGAGATGGCATGGGGTGGCCCATGAACCAAAGTTGAGTTTGACTGAGTTAAAATATTTGTCATGAACTCTTTGAAATCCTCTGCCACGTTCTCCTTTGTTGTTCAGGTATGTTTATTAGTGTTTAATTACCACTAAAACCTTCCTGCTCCTGAAGGAATGTCAGCACAAGTTAATGAAATTTGTAATTCAGAGCAATTTTAACTCTTTTTTTTTTAAATTTTATTTTAGTGTCTTTACTGGTTATTTTGTTAACCAGTAATAAAAATAAAACGATGACAGTGAATTAAGCAACACCCTAACAACAGTGAACAGGGAGCTGATTCAAAGTAGTTAAACCAGTCGTTTCAGCTGCTGACAGATGGCTGAGGGAGCATCAGATTGATCATTGTCACACTGAAGTATAGAAATCAGATCAAATGAAAGAACTCCTGTTACTACAAAGGCCTGAGTGAAGGTAGATGGAGGCCAGCTGGCAGGAACAAAAGAGCAGCTGTGTGTCCACAGCAGGTCGGCAGGACTGTCTGAACCTCCAGCAGATAGTGACAAACACTGAAAGGAGACCTCAGGGCTTCTTCAGCCTCCTGAAACCTGGCAGTATGACAGGAAAACTTTTATGTCCATAATAATGAAACTGCTTCATACCTTCTGCTGTTTTACTTTGCTTCGTTTTGGATCACATTGATGATCCTCAATCCTCTGTTGCACAACTGCATGAGTCCCACTGCCTCTGTGAACCTTCTCACCTGTGCTGAGTATTGATGAAGTTGATCAGGTTTCTAATGTTGGGGGTGTTTCTGGTGGGGTCATGTGCGTTTGCCAGTTATTTTGAGGTGTGTTTTGTGTCCGTCAGGCCTGGTAGCACACGGTGACCTCGATGAAAGAGCTATTGAGGCTTTGAAAGAATTCAACGAAGATGGAGCCCTGCAAGTGTTGGTGCAGTTCAAAGAGAGCGACCTGTCACACGTGCAGGTGAGTTTTAAATCATGCGAGACATGAAGGGAACGCTCTGCTGTTTATTTTTACCCCCTAACGGCAGCTAAATGTCCAGGTTTCTAATTTTCTGCTGTTTCTTATTCCCCAGAATAAAAGTGCCTTTCTCTGTGGGGTGATGAAGACTTACAGACAGAGAGAGAAACAAGGGACTAAAGTTTCAGACTCCATCAAAGGACCAGATGAGGCTAAAATCAAAGAACTCCTCGAGAGAACCAGCTACACACTCGATGTTACAACCGGCCAGAGGAAATACGGCGGACCCCCGCCAGAGTCCGTGTACTCGGGTTCTCAGCCCCCTGTCGGCACAGAGGTACTCCTCATCAATTTATAGAAAATAGATGTTGCTCTAGGTGTTACATTTTCACGTCATGTCATTGGAGAATTTGGTTGTTTTGAAATTAAAAAGCTGTAAATAAAAGGCAGGCACAGACAGAGGTGCTTTAAATGGTTAAACCCACGATCAGAGTGGCGTCAAGATTCACTTCATCAGATCCTGTGAAGGAGGAATTACTGCTCTGCTGAACGGGCATAAACATAGCTAAAGTAAATGATTACTTATACTTAAGATTTTATAAACCACCACCAATCATTTTGACAATATTTGGTCTGAAATTTTATTCACAGAGGTTTTAAAACGGATACATCAACACTGAGTTTGATTTATAAAAAGTGTTGGGAAGAAACAAGAAGCAGAACGAGTTTCTTTTAACAAGGTGAAAATTATGCAAGGCTTCAGTTTCTTACTGCTGAGGAAAAAAGATGTATAAATATAACTCTGAGGACCTAACGAGATGTACTTTGAGTTTTAGCTGTGCACTGGGGTATATATTTGGTGTATTTAGATATGCTGACTTCACTGTGACAGGTCTCGCAATGTGATTTGGGATTTGGATCCGTAGATGTTGATGTGAATTGTTGGTGTGTCGTTGGCCTCACGTGGACGGGGGGAACGAATGCACTGCTCAGTTTATCCACGGCCTGTCATAAAGTCGCGTAACGGTGCAGAACAAGGAGCATTTCTTTACTAATCTCCACTAAATCCAGCAAAGTTTGGGCTGTCAGTTCTTCTATAGCATGAACAGTTTCAGCATTCTCTGTAGTTCCTGTGGTCCGATACTAGCCACACAGTTAACTGATCTTAACAGATGAGGCGTTTGTGCAGAAGGCCCCTGACGGTCCAGCTCAGTTGTATCTGCCTAGTTTTTCCCTTCAGCTGTTTTTACGTGGGGTTCTCCACACAGTGTGGTCACCTTTACCTCCTCACATGTTCTCATGTAGCTCACACGAGGTTTTTCTTCGCTTTTCATGAGTTATGGTGCAGTAATATTTGTTTCGGCATTATCACAAGACTGAGCGTAGCCAGTTTTAAACTTCTTAAAAAGTGTGCAGCACAAGCTAACCCGACACTGTCTCAGTGTTTTCCAATGTCAAAATGCAAGGATGCATAAGACTGCAAATTTCTGTGCATATTTTATATCAATATAACTTTACTGAGATTTTTAACATGCTCGTGTTTAAAAAGGCTTAAAATGTGATTTTCCTGTTGGGCAGCGTTTATAGGAAAAAGCTGTAAAGACATGAAGTGTTTTCAGACCGCTTCACTGAAGCAACTTTAAGAGTAACTCCTAATTAACATAAACTGCACTGTTGAAATGAAACCATTTTCAGCTGGTTAACTAATAAATATTCAATAAAACCAGCTGCTTGTGGGTGTTTATATTTAGAATATCCTTCTTTCTTTTTTGTCCTCTTGTAGATCTTTGTTGGGAAGATTCCCCGTGATCTGTACGAAGACGAGCTGGTTCCTCTGTTTGAGAAGGCCGGTCCGATCTGGGACCTTCGGCTAATGATGGATCCGCTGAGTAGCCTGAACAGGGGCTATGCCTTCATCACGTTCTGCAGTAAAGAGGGGGCCCAGGAGGCCGTGAAGCTGGTGAGTTTGTCAGGAGCACGTGGCTGAGCAGGTCGCTTTTCTAGAAAGTGATGGCGTTCAGGAGACCTGTCACTTTGTAACGGAGGAAGCTGTAGCTCAGGAGGTGAAGGGGGTTATATTCTGATTGGAATGGGTTGGGCTGGTGGTTCAATCCCTGCTCCAGTCTGCATGCCAAATATTCTTGGGCAAGATGCTAACCCCAGGTTGCTCATGAATCTGTGTGAATATTAGATATAAAGCACTTTCGCATGAAAACCATAGAGAAAAGTGGTGCATGAATGCGTGAATGAGGCGTGTTGTTCTGCTCTATGAGAATCGGTCAGTTTACCTCAAAAACCTGTGTGCTGTAAAGGTTTTGAATCTAATGAGAGTTCATCGGCTTTATTTTTTGCAGTGCAATAATCATGAGATTCGCCCTGGCAAGCACATCGGGGTGTGCATATCTGTTGCCAACAACCGGCTATTTGTTGGTTCAATTCCCAAGAGTAAAACAAAGGAGCAGATTGTTGAAGAGTTTTCCAAAGTCACAGGTAATGCTTTCTGACAGTTTTGTTTCTCTAAGAATGCCCTGCTGTTCTCGTTATTCTGCTCAGAAACACCCAGACTGTTAATATTGAACCACAGGCAATGTTTTTGTTTTCTTTCTTCACCCAGAGGGCCTGAGTGATGTCATACTCTACCATCAGCCCGATGACAAAAAGAAGAACCGAGGCTTCTGCTTCTTAGAGTATGAAGACCACAAAACGGCCGCTCAGGCCCGTCGCCGGCTAATGAGCGGCAAGGTGAAAGTTTGGGGCAACCTCGTGACCGTGGAGTGGGCAGACCCCATCGAAGACCCCGACCCAGAAGTCATGGCCAAGGTGAGCATTGGGAATCTGAAGTGTTCTTCAATCTTTAAGCCAACCACCCATGAACTTAATGCCACCTCTCACTTTAAGGTCTGAAAGGCTTTTGTTCAATTAGTGATTAAAAGCTCCATTAAATAACCAGTAACTAAAAATAACCTAAAGCTGTGGGATTTAAAGATTACAAGTTGTTATTTTTTTTCCCCCTTCTGAGCTATTTTTAATGCTGAACTCGTTTCTATTGAAACGACAGCAGAGCCAGAGTTAAAGCTGTTAATGAAGAAGGAAGATGTTAAGATCAGATCTCAATCTTTGGCTCCTTTTGATGATCGGATGTCAAATTCTTGCATTTGTAGCTGACTCTCCAAAGCAAAGCATGTCTCTGCTGCTGATTCCAGTAGGAGGCCCTGCACTGGCAGCAAAACATCAGTGCTTATGCCCTTTGTGCTGTCTTTGTTTTTTTGTTGTTTTTTTCAATCACGAGATAACAAGCTAGATGACACACATCAGCATTATAATGAACTGGTGTATTTTTAAATGTGACGGTGGGTTCATAAAAACTGAATCTTGCCCTTTTTTCCTCTTAATTCAGTGATGCAGAAAGTGCCGTTAAACAAGCAGTACCACTGAAATCACAAAACTTTGCAATTTCTCTGTATAATTTTAAGGCAGGTTATATAAATAATAATAAAATATTAACATTTAACTACATACGTGTTGTTGAACATAAATATGTGTTTGTTCATATTGTGACCCTTTGTCTTCTTTAAATCGATCAAATTTTCCAAAATATGTGATTTTACTGCCTCGATAAATGCGCAGGAGGAGATGAGCTGATTAAATCTGAGCTTTACTTTGTTGCAGGTGAAGGTTTTATTTGTGAGAAATCTCGCTAATGGCGTCACGGAGGAACTCCTGGAGACGTCCTTCAGTGAGTTTGGAAAGCTGGAGCGAGTGAAGAAGCTCAAAGACTACGCCTTCATTCACTTTGAGGAGCGGGACGGTGCGGTGAAGGTATGTGTTACCCTGATGGTTAGCGCTGGATTAGAAACAAGGTGCAGAGACGTTAACAGTCTTTTATTCTGTGTCCAGGCACTGGAGGAAATGAACGGGAAGGAGTTGGAGGGAGAGCCAATCGAGATAGTGTTCGCCAAGCCGCCCGATCAGAAAAGGAAGGAGCGCAAAGCCCAGAGGCAAGCGGCCAAAACACAAATGTAAGAAATGTCTTCTCGAAGCGTTCTGAGCAATCAAACCTTTGTTTTTGTCAGAGCTGTCTTTCTAACCCGTGCCATCTTACTCTCATCAGGTACGATGACTATTACTACTACCCTCCCCCTCCCCACATGCCCCCTCCCAGCAGAAATCGGGGTCGAGGAGGGAACCGAGGCGGCTACGCCTACCCTCCTGACTACTACGGTTACGAGGACTACTACGATTACTACGGCTATGACTATCACAACTACCGCGGTGGCTACGATGACCCCTACTATGGGTACGATGACTTCCAGGCCCCAAGCCGGGGGCGGGGCGGCAGCAGGGGCGCACGGGGCGGATCCTCCCCGGCCAGAGGACGTGGCGGCTCGGGGGCACCCAGAGGGAGGGCAAACTTCTCGCAGCGCGGCGGGCCGGGACCAGGCCGTGGCGGGCGCGGCGCAAGAGGAGGCGTGCAGCTGAGAGGGCGAGGAGGGGTACGTGGTGCACGGGGTGGCCGCGGTGGAAATGTAGGAGGAAAGCGCAAAGCTGATGGGTACAACCAGCCAGATTCCAAGCGTCGCCAGACCAATAATCAGAACTGGGGCTCTCAACCCATTGCTCAGCAACCGCTCCAAGGTGGTGATCATTCTGGTAACTATTCCGGTTACAAATCTGACAACCAGGAATTTTATCAGGATTCTTTTGGGCAGCAGTGGAAGTAAACCCCGTAGTGCTTTGATAACAAAACCCGTGTTTGTTTTTGTCTTTTTATTTAGAGACTTGATCTGATTGGCCCTCAATCCCATACGGTTGCCTGCATTTTTTTTCTTTTTGTTTTCCTCAAAATTGGTGACATCTGGCAAGATCTCCTTTTTGTACATATTTTAATAATCCGCTTGGACTCTCGAGTCGTAGTCACACTCCCACCTGTTTCTGGCGAACTGGTTTTCTCTCTTCCTTTTGGGGTTTTTATTTTTTATTTTTTAAAACGACGAAAAGAGAAAAAAAATACGATGGGCGTTTAAAAGATTTTCCATAACGGAGTTTGAAAAAATTTTTAGATGCAAATGTGCTCGAGCTGTCTATTTGGCTATAGCTTTATGTCTGTTTTTAGAAATTCTGGTTACCATGTTTTAAGTAGCTAACGGCAACAAAGCATATGTCTCCTAAACATGTATTTAAATCCAATGAATACGATTTGTATTGTCAAAAAGTAATGCGTGTCTTGTTATTGAAAAGAAGAAGAAAAAAAGGACCATCGTAGTCCTATGGTTTTTCTTTTTTTTTGGCTTTACATTTTGGCTTGTATTCTTTGCTGTTTGTCTGCTTTAATAAACATACACGCACTCGTGTACAAAACTTCAAATTGTGTTGCAAATTCATGTTTCGGCAAATTCTCTCTTCAAATTACCTTCAAATTTAAGGCTCCTTGTGGAAGAAAATGGACCAAAGGTTTGCCAAATGTTTGGCCACGTGCTACAGTGTCACCTTGCATGCCATCAAATTCAAATCACCTTCTGATAGTCGGCATCTCTCAAGTGCTCTGTATGTGTAGTGACATACTCCATCCTTATGAGTTTCTCTCATGTCCAAAGAACATTGTTTCACAAATTGGTGTCCGAAATTCACTCTCAGCAGCGTCAGGGTTAAGCCCCGCCCCCTACAAGTCTCTTAGAGTCCTTGTTATCAGCTTTGGTTGGGGTTTTTTTTTGGGAGGGGGGGCATAAAAGCACAATTTGATTTGTTTCAAAGTGAAGCTTTTCCTTGTCCCAGAAGGATCTACTTAGCTGTTGAAGGCCTGGATACTAATCTTGCATGTTTTACTCTGGAGGTCTGATAATTGTGCTCTTGTGCATGACCTGCTTCTAGGTGTTTTGTTTTTATTTTACTCCCCTTTTGCTTTTATTGATAATGATGGCTGCTCTTACCCCCCCTCACCTGCCCCCTTACCTTCCTCCCCCTCCTCCCTCCCTCTGTCTGTCTTGAGCCGCGTCTCACCTACTGCACCTCGGTTTTATGTTTAATAACCGGCCCAGCTGACTCTGCTCGCCGTCTTCTCTTTAAGGCATTGCCATGTGCATGTTAACGTCTGAGCTTGTGCGTGTGAGCTCCAGAAACTGTAAATGTGTGTAGATGTGATGCGATCCTGTTTTCAGTTCTCTAATTGCTTCCTTTTGTTACCTGACTAGCAGGAAAAAGGGGGCGAGGCTGGTCCTGATGTGTTGCTATGAGGACTGACGGCGACGCACGCTGCGGGCTTCGGTGGATGAAATGGTAAGGTCAGCTGACTCAATGGTCCAATGGTTGTCCAGCCTTTTTTATTTTATTTATTTTTGATTTTTTTGATTTTTAATGTAAAGGAGGAAGGGTTTTTTTTTTCATTTTGTTTTTGATCATCTTCGAACTGCCATGTTTGAAGATGATCAGAAGAGTAAACCCCACCTCCTCCAACCCTAAGGCAGCCATGTGAGATGTACTGAGGTCACGATGGACATCCCTCTGGAAAAGGCTTTGCACTTTTTTTTTTTTTCTTTCTTTTTTAAATTGAGGCTTGGAGTGGTGCAGTGGGACTTGTTGTTTCTGAGTTTTTGGACTGAGACGTGTGAGGTGCTGACGCCTGGGTCTCGCAGGAAAACTGGTTCACGAGCTACCTCGGTTTCACGGAAACGCCTCGGATCATCTACTTAAGGAAACTGAGACAGGGCTCGAGCCTCTCCGGCCTTGCAGCAGAGCACTTGATTTAATTGAGGTTCTCGCTGAGACCTGGCACCGACCAGTCCTGTGGGAGCGAGCCTGAACATGCCTTTTTTGCTGTCTTTGTACATGAACTGAGTGACAATGAAGTTAACGGACAGATTGTTTTGTCTTTTATTTGTAAGGCCTGAAAACCACAGCCCTCCTCTTCTTCATGTCTTCCACAGCCTGACCCGACAGCTGTCTTAACTACAGATTTAGGATGTCATGTGACATCTTGCCATGTCTAAGAGGGTCTGGAAGAAAATGGGTTACATGTTTTGCATTGTATGTATGCCTCTGTAGACTATCATGCCATGTATGTATGTATGTATGTATGTGCTTATGAGAAATTTACCTGTGGTGTTGACTCATGACTTCTCACTGGTGCGAGTGTAAAGGAGAAATTTACCGCTGGCTGATTTTGATTGAGAAGAAAATGACCAACCAAAGAGCCTGAAAGTAGTTTTAACACTTAGTTTTATACTCCTGCGATTTAAAACTGGTTAAAAAGTGTAAAAATATAGTCAGACATGTTAGAGTGAGAGTAAAACATTTTAACATCGGTCTGTTCTTTCAGCGTTAAACGTTGAAGGGAAATGCAGACTTTAATCTGTGGTTTTATTTGAATCAAAATCCCGATATAAGACATTTATCGTCCTGACAACGATATAAATCCCAAAAATGTAATATTTCCTGTAAATTCTGTGACTCTCGTCCAACTCGACTTGCATGAAGTTTTTCCAGCTAGGCGTCCTTTACCTGGATTAGATTGTTTTAACCGATGCATGAAACTATACATTTGTAGACATAAGTTGTAACGGCCGCCATTTTCTTTCAAAGTGAGACTCTGTGGTTTATTTTTTTTCTTCTCATCCGTAAACTTTCTGCATACTCTTTCACGTGATTCAGTTTATTTTGAAAAGTCTCAACAGGATCTTGAGCTTTATTGTGAAAGGTTTACGTGGAAAACAAACAAGCGGACAGCGGAGCCACACCATGGTTTTACCGTTGTTGTTGCTAACAACAACACGTAAAAACAGGCGCTTGCCCGTTAGTAGTGTGGTTATATTATATATGAGAAAGAGAACTTTAAGAAATTAATATAGCCACTACAGTGACCATCAAAACGATAAAAAAAATATTGCTGTAAACAGTTTTTTTTAGGACACTACGAAACAAACGATAGCGTAATAGGAAACGATAGACATTTTTATATCGTCTTCTGACATATATCGTTATATCAAACAGCCGTAAAAGGCCACTGCAGTTTTGTCGTCACGCCACTCGAACAAGGCTACTTACAGGGTTGGCCATGGTTTAAAAACATTTTAAAATGTGTTCTGCAGAAATACTTGTAACTCATTTTACACTTGATGTTTCTGTTAAAATACTATATTTGGAAAATTTAGTAAAAGGGGTGATGCTTTCCCCCCTTTTCATCTTTTGTAGAAACACCCATAAGTCAGTGTTTTTAAAAACACTCGTCTCTAAACACGTAAACATCTGTCGTCCTTTAGAGCTGAAATTTTAATTATGTTGCACCTGCTCTCATGGGAGAAATGATCTCTGAGCATAAAAGTTGAAATGTATGCCTCTATGACATCGATAAACTCTGTTTTTGTGGTGTTGCACCAGTTTGACCATTTTGAATAATTTCAGAACTTTTAATAATGACAATATAATGAATTAATAATTAAATTATTTTGTTTAGAAACTTGTTTGGTCGCTAGGTTTTGGTGGTGTTACCCCCACCATGACGCTTTCATCTTTGTTCTACCTCGCACAGAGAGATCAATCACTCTGATCGATTAGTAGAAAGAAAAGGATGATCTGTTACACGTCCCTTTAAAGTAGAGGAATTCTGGGAGATCGGCGGCTCCAGAGTCAATGCATTGTAGCCTTTGGAAGGACGATGTGAGGTTGGATTTCTCCTTTAAGCTCCTTTCAGTGCATTTTTGTGTCTCTGCCTTGTGTTGTGACCTTTGACCTTTGACATGAGCCCAGAGTCTTGGTCTCATGTTGAGCTTTGTCCCATCTCTGAGGGCCGTGCTGCTGCTGCTGCTGCTGCCGCCACCTCCTCTGTGGGGAAAAATAGAGCCACATTAGTGTTTGTGTCCATGTTAGACCAGACTTGATTTTATGGGTCAACAATGTGTTTTTGTTTGTTTTTGCTAACGAGTGTGTTTGCAGTTTGCAGATGAATTGTTTTATACTGTACAGCGAGGTGACGTAAACCTATTTTTCTAATAAAGCCATGGACTTTGAACTCGGCTCTGTCTTCTATTTTGAATTTTGCCAGTGCATAATCACATTTCAGAGAGCCTAGAAATATATTAGTGATGTTTAACATTTATTAAACGCCTTAGCTCAACCCAAGCTCAAAAGAAAAGTGTAGAGCAGGGGTCGGCAACCTTTCTGATGAGTGCCATCTAAAATTTCCTCAGAAGTCAGTGTGCCATATGATTGCATTAGCAATAAATTTAATAATGCTCTATTAACAGTTACACACTATATAGAAGAACTTTATACAATTATATTTGTGCGCAGATGTTGGCAGCTATCAGCGAATAGTTTTCAGCTATTTTGAAACAAAAAGACTTTTTATCCATAACAGCAAATTAACTGTACAACAGAAAATGCAAATGCTATTTATGGTCTCCTCACAACAATGATAAGAAAAATAAACTGAGGCAATATGGCATGTTTGTTAATACAGAGACACACATGTTAATGTGATCTCTGGTCTCCCACTCAGAGACACAGGTCTGAGTGTCCAGCGTTTAGACCGCTACCCGAGGACACTCATGTGAGAGAAAATCTGCTCACACTGATATGTAGAGCCAAATACTGTCAATAAGGCCTCTGCAATGTTCTGAAGACAGTTAAACTTATTTTTAGCCAATTACAACCTGAATCTGATAGTTGGGGTTGTTAGCTAAGATACCGTCATTAAGAAGCGGCACAACTAATGTTTCTATGCAAGCTAATTTATGATGTGCACCGCTGGCCCGACCATTTATTATTTTTTTTAATGCACCTTCTCAGATTATTTCACTGCGTGTCGTGCCCAGAGCTGGACTGGGACAAAAAATTGGCCTGAGCATTTTGACGAGACCGAGCCACCAGGTATTAAAGCCATAAAGCCTTTGAATGAAAACAAACACCGTTGTGACAGTGATGTACAGTCTTGTTGGTATATGTATGATTTCTATACATTTTACGTCAGATAAAAACTTTGGTTGTAAGATTCAGATAATTATTTAAT